GGAGGAAACGAGGAGGGAGGGGGCGACAAACATGCTGCGGAGACCAGGGGGGGGAGGGGCCTGGGCATTGTGTGTATGTGTGTGCGCGCGCGCGCGCGCGTGAACAATGCGCTGGAGGGCGAGAGTCGGCAGCGGCGGCGGTCGCGGCGGCGGCCAGATCGTTGAGCCAGGGGTGGGGGCATGGTTTCGGGGACGGGGGGTGGCAACGCATGTGTGAGGGCGAGGGGGCAAGGGAGCGGGAGATAACGTGGCGGGAAGGGGGGGGAGGGTGGCCCGGGCGCGGGTCAGGATGGCGTGCGGCGTGGGGCCTCTGTGGGCGGCGCCGGGGGGGAGTGCTCATGCCCCCTCCCCCCCCCGAGGTCGGCGACCGCACGGGAGGGCGTCGGATCGCCCGGGCGCCGACCGCCCCCCCTCCCCGGCCCGGCCCGGGCCCGGCCCCGGGGAGAGATCCCATATGGCAGGGCCTGGAGCCGGCAGACGAGCGTGTGTGTGTGCGCGCGTGTGCACGCCTGCGGGGGCGCCCTCGCCGGCTGCGGGCTCCCCTGGTAGCCGCGCCCGGGCCGGGGACAATGCAACACACGCGCGCACACACATACGCGCGCCTCAATGTGCGGCGGATGTGCGTATGTGATCACACACCCCACCCCAAGTCATATATATATACGCCCAAGAGCGCGAACGTATGGCACAAACGTGTACGAGGAGGCCCCGGCCCGCGGGCGTCCCGCCGTGAGGAACACGCCAAAAGGCGCGGCCACGGCGGGGAAATAGGATGCGCCGCCCCGCCGCCCCCGGCCGCCCGGCCCAGGCTCGGGGAATTCGCCAGAAGGCGTCCCCCCCCGGGGGGATGTGTCATGCAGGCGCGGCGCCGGGCTACGCCCGAGCCCGGGCGCGGGGGAAATAATGGAGCCGGCGCCGGAAAAGGGCGGGGGAACCGGCGTCCCCGCCCCCCGGACAGCCGGGCGCGCATGCGTGCGCGGACAACTGAACAGTAGAGTGGTAGAGCGCCCCCGCCCCCTCGTTGGGAGGTCCCGAAAAAAGAAAAAAAGGGGGCGCGGGGGACACACACGCGCGTCTCGAACTCAAGAATGCGCCGGGCGCGCGCGAAGCCACGCTGCGTGCTGCTCGGCCCTCGCCCGGTGCTCCGGCGGGGAGAAGACGCACACGCCCGCCGCGGCCAAGGAGGACGCCCCGGGCACAGGGCACACACCAGCGACCAGGGCGAACAAGCACCCGGGCGGCGCGCAAGCGAAATGACTGGCGCCCGGCCACCGCCAGTGCGCGCGCACGCACGTCGCTGGGGGAGCAGCACACCCCCGGCACAACGCAGGGGGCAACCGGCGCAAAAAAAAAACCGCGCCCGGTTGCCGGCCGGGGGCGGGGGCGGGGGCGGGGGGGGGGGGGGAACGACTGCCAGGAAAAAAGCCCGGCGAGCGGGGAGTGTGCGCACGCGTGAACACACCAACCCTAGGCCCCCGCCGGCCGCCGCCGTCCCCCGTCTCCCCCCCCCCCTTCTGGCTCGAGGGCCAGGGAGGGGGCAAGGAGCGGAGGGGCGGGGAGCGCCCGCCCCGGCCCCGCAGGAGTAACCCGGTCCCCCGGGCGCGGAGGCCGGTTTCCCCGCCCCCGCCAGCAGGGAAGCCCGCAGAGAGCATGGAGGAGGCCGGTGCCCGGAGCGGGGATGTTCGAGAAGGCGCCGCCCGGGCCCCTGCAGCCTACCCTGCCCCACGAGCGCCGGCGCTGCATCCGAAGGGGGGGGGGAGAAGGGGCGGGCAACAATAACAACATTGCCTGCCACCCACGGCCGCCGCACCTTCCTGTGGGGAGTCGGCACCCCGCCCCCCCCCCGGGGGGGGGGGGGGGGACGCAGATTGACCTGGGGCTTCTCTCTCGCGTCCCCGGATGCGAGAAAGGGCAAGGCGCGGGCGGGCGCGCGTGAACCGCGCACCCCCCCCCCCCCACACCTTCCTCCGGCGAGCCAGCGGAAGAGGGGCAGAGTCCGCCGGAGTCTCGGCCGGGGGCGGCACAGGCGCGCGCGCGCGCGCGCGCGCGCCGAGGCACCGCGGGCGGCCGACACAAAGGGCGACGGGGTGGATGCCACATGATACGGGCCGTCGGCGCGCCTTCACGTGCGCCGGGACCCTTCCGTTGGCATATTGGGTCATCTCGGGACGGGGCCCGATGCATCGGGAGGGGGGGGGGGGGCACGCATCCTGGCACCTCCGGCTGCCTCCTGTCCGGCCGCCCCTCAGCAAAAAGGGATCCCCCAAGCAAGGGGCGAGGGCGGCCGGTGGCGGACCCGGCCGGGCGCAGGATCAGGCACCCTGGCGCATGGCGCTCCGGCGGGCGCAAGGGGCGCGGCGCCGGCGCAGATGGTCGAGGAGGGCCAGCAAGACGACCGACGTCGAGGCCTCGACCCGTCGCTTGGGGGATACGGAGCGCAGGGCAGCTGTCCATGACAGGGGGAGGGGGGGGGGAGATCCGACATGGCGGCCGATCCGGCGAAGGGGGAGCAGCAGCCGGTCGGGCGACGCCGCGCGAAAGGGCGACAAGCGCGCCCGGGCTGGCCCCGACCCGGGGAGCGCACCCAGAAGAAGGAACGGCCACATGGCAGAGTGATCCGGCGGGGCCAAGTGTGGACACGCCCGCGGGTGCATCCAGCGCGCTGGCGGTGCGTGCCTCGCGCAGCTCGAGGCCCATGAGCACAGGCGTGCATGCATGTGCACACGCGGCATACAATGCACATCGGCATGGGGGGACGCAGGATGTGCGCGCCGAGCCACGGCATGCGCGGCCATGGTCTGCGAAAAACCCGTGTAACACATGTGCGCAGCGTATGTGGCTGACAATGCGCTCCCCATGCCAGACACGCCGGGAAAGGGCGCGATGGAGACGGAGGGGAGTGGCGCGCGGGGAGGATGCTTGGATGTGGGAAGCGGGGAGAAGCAATCGGACACGCGCGCACACAAACACGCACAAGTACGCACAAACACGCACAAACACGCACAAACACGCACAAACATGCAGAAACACACAAACACACAAACACGCAGAAACACAAACACAAACACAAACACACCAGTAGATGGCAGCACTAAAAAAAGACACTCATGGAAATGGGCACACCCAGCAGGGGAGGGATCGGATGTGCCTGCAGGTCGACAGAGCACAACCAGAGAGGGAGAGAGAGAGAGAGGGAGAGAGGGCGCGGCGAGACGTACCGCGAGATGTCATGACGGCCGAGGCGATCGGGGCCATTGACGCCGGAGGCCCGGGCAGCAGGGCGAGCAAGTGCCGGGCAGGCAACAGGCGGAGGCATGCACGCACAACGCACCCGCGACGATGGGGACGGCCATCTGAACGGAGAACAACACAACGACCGCTGGCCACGAGCACAGCGGCTCCCAGCGGCAGGGGGAGGGGACGAGCACAAGGGCGAGGCGAGACATGACCGCGCTGGCCCTGGATGATGCAGCGGGTCGCTGAAAAAGGGCACCACCCGGGCCGGCCGGTGATGCCGGGGGGTGCCGGCACGCCAGGTCCACCCACCCACCGGCTCACCTTCCAGCTCGATGTCTCCCCGCCCCCCCCCCCCCCCCCCCCCTGGGCAGCGGGCGGATGTCACCACGCCCGTGCGTGTGACCGCGGCGGTACGTTGCCGCCAGGCGCCCGGGGGCGGCGGCTGCCCCCCCACCCCCCCCCCACCCACCCGCGCACCACCGGCAGGGGGTGGCACCTCTCCGGGAGAGATCCTCACGCCCGCGGTCCTCGGCGCTCCGTGCCCCCCCCCCCCCGGCAGGCAGGCGGCCCGAGATCGAGAGTGATCGGCCGCGAGCGTTGGCATCAGGCTGCGGCATATAAACTCGCGGGTATTTAATCGATGTATTAATTGGGATGGCCTCGGTGCACGCGCGCACGCACACGGGCACAAACACATACAGACCCCACGGGGTGAGGACGCACACAGAGCACGACAACGGCGTCCGGCCTGACAAGGCCTCCCTCGCGCCCTCCCGCGGCGAAGAGCCACAGCGACGTACTGTCGGGAGGCCTGCGGCGCGGGAGGAACTGCCCTCCCCCGCACTGTTCAGGTCCAGGAAGCCCTCCCGCTCCTTGGCCGCCCGCACTGTCTCTCCGGCCCGGGCGGGGAATCCCGGCCGGAGCCCCACACGTCCCCGGTCCTCGCCCCCCGCCCCTGCCCTGGCGCACGGGCGCGGGCATGCACACAGGGCGCCCTGGCGCGGAGAGACGGAGCCGCGCGGCTTGCCGGGGAAGCGGACGCGCACCCGTGTCAGCGCAAAAAAAAAAAAAAAAAGGCACGAGGGGAACAGCAAGGGACAGAGAGTGGGGGAGAGGGGACAACGGCCGCATAGCTGGCCACCCCCCCCCCCCTGGGAGTGGGCGTGCTTCGGGACGCCGAAGGAGAAGACCCCTCCGCGGGAGGAGGCATGCCCATGCAGAGGGCCGCGCAGGTGCCCCCCCCCGGGCCGGTACCGTCACACGCCGCACCTTCGCTCTCGCCCAACCACCTGTGTGCACGCTCCCCCTTTCGCCGGGCCCCGGGGGCCTGCCCCGGCACATGCTCTAGCGCAGGCAAACAGAAAGGAAGGACGGAGGGGGAGAGGAGGGAGAGACACCGCGCATGGGGGAACAGATCATGACACACGAGCGCCCCGCCCTGTCTACACACACACACACACACACACACACACACACCACACCAACATCACCTCCCCTCCTGGAGCCCAAAAGAGAGAGCAATGGAGAGACCGGGGTGGGGGGAGGGGGCAAGTCGCGCGGACGTGGGGGGGGGGGGAAAGCAGGCCCTCGCCTGTACAAAGAAAGACAAACAAAGGGAGGGGGTTGTGTATGTGCCAGAGAGAGGAACACCCACGAGAGACAGGTCGTCCCCGGGGGGGGGGGGGAAAGAGACAGGGGGGCGCGCTGCAGGGGGGGGGAAGGGAGGGGCGCATGCCGCCAGGTCGCTTAGAGCTTGTTGAAGGCAACAATGTCGACGGACTGGACGTGGTCCTCGATGTTGAGGAGCTGATCCTCGAGGAAGTCGGTACCGACCTTGTCGTCCTCGACGGTGACCATAATCTGAAGCTTCTTGACACCGAAGGCAACGGGGATGAGCTGGGCTGTGGGCCGGGGAGGGGGGGGAGCGCGCGCCGGAAATGGGACATTCACGCGGAAGGGAGGGAGATTTCGTCAGAACACGCACGCCCGGCTATGGCGGAGAGGAGAGAAGAAGAGGGGAGGGAGGGGGAAGGGCGGGACACGACGACGCGCGCCGGACGCCGGCGACGAGAGGGAGACCCCCCTCTGGCGATGAGAGAGCAAGAGAAGGGCGGGGAAAGAAGGAGAGGCGCGCGCGGGGGGGGGCGGCCGGGCCACCACACGCACCAGCACCCCAGACGAGGCCGTCGGTCTGGATCTCGCGGACGAGCTTCTCGAGCTCAACCATGTCGGTGGTGTCGTCGTAGGGCTTGACGTCGAGGACGATGGTGGACTTCTGGACGACGGCGGGCTTGGCGGCCTTCTTGGCGCGGTAGGCGGCCAGGCGCTCGGAGCGCAGGCGGGCGGCCTCGGCGTCCTCCTCCTCGTCGGAACCGAACAGGTCGAAGTCGTCCTCCTCAGCCTCCTCGGCCTCCTCAGAAGCGAGGTAGTCGTCCTTCTCAGCGGCGGGGAGGGCCTCGTGGTTGAGGGCCTTGATGTGGTTGTACCAGCGCAGAGCGTAGGTGTTGTGGGCCTCAGGGGCGTCGGCGTAGGCCTTGAAGACCTGGACGTCGGCCTGAGTGGCGACGAAGCTGCGTGACGGGCAGATGACGCGCGCGGACGGAGGGGCGAGGGGCCGTTAGTGGGGGGGGCGGGAGAGCGAGAGCCCAAGGTGCAGGGGAAGAGGAGGGGGGAGGTGGCGCGCGGTGGCGGCATGGCCGCCTTCGGAGGGGAGGAGGGGGAAATGCGCGCGCGAGAAGGACAGGGGGAGCGAGCGCGTGCGGGCGAGAGACGCGCAAGCGGGCGCGCGTCGGCCGCCCCCCCCCCCGGTAAGCTGGGCGCAGCAAGGGGGAAGGGATAGGGGAGGAGGAGACAGCCGGAGAGCGGGCTCCTTCCCGCACGCGCGCCACAGCGCCAGAGCCAGGCGAATGCAATGCAACAGCAAAAGACAGCAAGCGCGCGAGCGAGTAGTAAAAGGAGGGGGGGGGGGGAAAGCGCGCGCGCGCGCGGCGCGGCAACAACGCACCCCTCAATGTAGGACTTGTCAGCAAGGTGCTTGTTGAGGTTAGCGACGACACCGAGGTTGGCCATTTTGGTGTTGGAGAAAAGGGGGATTTCCGGCTGAGACAGAGAAAGACACAATCCAGAAGGGGGGCCGGCCCCTCCGACCGGGGAGGGGCCAGGCCGGTGGCTTATTTACGCACTGACGCCCACTGCGCACACGCACACACGCGGGCGCGCCGCGCGCACGCACAGCGGACCCGAGCTGAGGGCCCGAGTCCCCCCCCCCCCCCCCGGCGCCCGCCCAATGTGTCGCCTGTGTGTCCCCACTGTGCCTGGGGACGAGCTGGCTGGCAAGGGCCCGACAGGCAGCACGCGCGCGCGTGCAGCTGCCTTCCAGCGGGGCGGGGGGCGCCGCCCCACACACAGGCGGGGACTTTCGAGAAGCAGGCGCCCGGCGGGGGGGGGGGGGGGGGGGGGGGGGGGCAGGGCGGGGCACCCCACCCGCGCGGGGGCTGTCGTCGACCGGCGAGCCGGAGGGGGGGGCCCAGGAGAATGCATGGCTCCCGTTCCCCCGCGCCCCGCGCCCGGTCCGGCCTGGCCCCGTCCCTTCCCCGACGCCGGGGACGCTCAAGTGCACGCGCGCGCGCGCGCTACCCGGGGCAAGCGACGCCGGGCCCGGGACGGCCGGCGCCCCGGGCCGAGGCCCAGGACCGCCGCCTCGGGGGGCGGGGCGGGGGGCGCCCACGCGCACGCAGATGACCCCCTCGCCCGGACGCACAGCCGGGCGTCGTCCGCCCGCCGCCTCCCGCGGCGGCCCCGGAGCCGGCTGGCGCCCTTTAGAAGGCGGGGGGAGGGGGGGGGGCGTCCCGCGCAGGTGGGCGCAAGGGAAAAGCCGGGCATGCCCTTGGACACACACACACACGCACCGGAGGGGGAGGGGGGAACATGTACACACGCGTGCACGCGTGCAAGCCCGGTTCCCCGGCCCACCGCGGCGGAGAACGAGCCGCAAACACGGACACACACACACACACACACCCCGGCCGGGCCCAGCGCACCCACCCTCTCCGCCCCGCCCTCGAGAGGGAAGATGTGCCAACCGAGGGGCAGCCCCGGCCGTGGCCCCAACCCGCTGGGGCGCGCGCCGTTCCTCCCCCGCCCCCCGGTCGAGCAGGGGAGGAGATCCGGCGCCCGGGAATATGGGCACCGCGTCAGGGGGGGGAACTTTCCAGACCAGGGAGCCGGCCGGCAGGCCCCCGCCCGGTATATACGACGGGCACGCCTGTTCCCTCGCGCACCCCTAGACGCGCGGGCCATTGAGGAGGGCCCGGGGCCCGGGGCCCGGGGGGGGGGGGGGGGGGGGGACGGACAGGGGGCAGAACCCTCGGCCGTGGCGAATAAGGCTGGATTTATATTCCCCCAGTGTCGTCCGCCGCCCGCGCCTCAAGCCTCGGTGGGCCGCGGCTTTCGCTCCATCCCCCACCCCCCGCCCCTGTCCCCCGCCACGTCCTCGGGGACGCGCCGACAACTGCGCGGACATCCCCCCCCGCCGCCCCCGCGGCCGGGGGACGTATGTTCGTCTGTCCCCCCCGCCCCCACCGGCGTCCCCGCCAGCGTCCCCGGCCGCCCGCCCGGGAACCAACAAACGCAAGAGCGCCAGCGCCAGAGGGGGGGGCGAGGACGGCCCCGCTCCGCATGGGGCTCCCGGCCCCGCGGGGCGTCCGCCTCCCGGCCCCAGTCCGGGTTATTACCCCGGCGCGCGCCGCGCGCGGTCCCCACGGTTAGGACCGACCCGCGCGCCTCGGCCAGCCGGCCCGGGGTCGCGGGTTTAACACCCCCGGTGCCACTTTCGTGGGCCACACCGTTCGAGACCCGCGAAGGCGGGGGATCACCCGCGCGCGGGGCCTGGTCGCGTGCTCTTTCTCTATTCCGGACAGGCGCCCAAGGGCGCATCACATGAACTCCATGTCGAAGTCGTAGTCCGGCAGATCCGGCTCATCGTCAAACAGCCCGTCGAGGCCCGCCTGCTCCAGGTCGAAGTCCGAGGGGTACTGCTCGGCCCCCGGGCCGCCGCCGCCGCCGTTCGGGAGAGCGCCGTCGGGAGCCAGCACGCGCGCCGGCTCGCCCCGGCTCCCGGGGGCGGCAGCCCGCCCGGCCGGCGAATCCTCCACCAACCCGGCCAGGTAGTCCGACGCGAAGACCCGCGGATCGCCCGGGTCCGTCAGCCGCAGCGACATGAGCGACGCCGCGCGGCGCCGGTTCAGGTCCACCTGCTGCTGGAGGCTCAGCGGGGCGGCGGCGGCGGCAGACCCGGCGCCATCGCCGTCGCCGCCGGCGTCGGCCCCCGCCACCCGGGGCGATGGCCCATTCAGGGCCGCCTCCCATTCGGCCAGCTCCTGGTCATACTCGAACCCGGCGTGCGGGCCACCATCGGCGGCCGGGGCCGGGGCCGGGGCCGGGGCCGGGGTGCCGGCCGCCCGGCGGTCCGCCTCCGCCAGCCCCGGCGCCGGGCCCAGCCCCGCCGTCCGGGGGTCCAGCCGCCAGGCATAGATCATGGCCTGGCCGGCGGAGTCGGCGCCGAGGCGCGCGCAGTCCCGCGCAAAGTCCCGCAGCGTCCGCCGCCGGCCGGCCGCCGCATGCACCCACAGCGAGTACACCTTCAGCAGGCGCGACAGATCCCGCCGGACGGCCGTTCGGGAGACCCGGCGCTTGCCGCCGGCCGGGTCGCCACTCGGTGCCAGGCCCAGGTGCGGCCCGGGAATCGGCGCCCGGCGGATGCGCGGCAGGGGGTACTCCCCGTCGGCCGACTCGGCAGCCGGCTCGTGCTCCGGCTCGTGCTCCGGGTCCGACTCCGAGCCGGCCTCAAGGCCGGGCTCCGGCGGGAACCGGTGCAGCAGCATCTCCCGCAGCAGGCCCACGCCATTCGGCCCGGTCAGCAGCTGCGTGTCCACCTTGAAGAGGGTGCGCTTCTTTTTGGTGTCGGCATCCGCCCCATTGGCCGGGGCCGACGCCTCGCCCGACACGTCGGCATACGTCAGCCCGTCGGGGCCCACCTCGGCCGGCTGCGCCAGGGCCATATATGTGTATGTGTGTGTGTGTGTGTGTGTGTAAGTGTGTGTGCGGAGGCGTTTTCAGCGGCAGACCCCCGGTCCGCTCCTGGCGGTCAGCGGGGGCGAGTGTGTCCGCGCCTGCCCTCCCCCGGGGGGTGTGGCATCGTAGGCTGGCAGCATGGAGAGCAGGGGAGCGACGCACGCGGGTGGTGGCCGCAGGAGGCTGCGACTCCCCGGGCCCGGCCGGGGCGTCCGGCCCGGCGCGGTGAAGCTCCGGGAAGTGCTCGCGCAGGAAGGCGCTCATACTCCGTGGCGTGTAGTTGTCTTTCCCCCCTCTAGCCTTGTGCTACGGGCGGCGGCTTATGCCGTGTGTATGTGTGTGTGTGTGTGTGTGCGTGTGCGTGTGTGTGCGCGCGCTGTCGGCGGGCGGCAGCGGAGAAGGTGCGAAGAGGAGGCGACGCGAGGGTGTTGGGCAGGGGGGTAGGGGAGGGGGATAGAAACACATCCGGGGCGCCAGGCATGCCGCCACGACCGCTGAAATGGAGCCCCATCCTCGCCCCCCGCACGCGCCGCTCAGGAGGATCTGGCTCACACGCGACCGGCCGCCACACGATCGTGGGCGTGTCCGCCTGTATGTGCCATCTCCGGCCCCCGCGCCGGCCCCGGCCAGGATGCACGGCCCCGGCGCCGGACGGTTTTTGAATTCCCGCCAGCCCGGCGGCCGGCCGTTATCAGCGTTGGCACCTGGCCACCCGCCAGGCTGCGTCCTGTTTTTTGTCCCTTCCTCCCCCCGTGTTCGCACGCGCATCCCTCCCCTCTCTTTCTCTCTCTCTCTCTCGGGGGACACGGCCGCAGGTTGGGAGGCCCCTGCCGCCGGGACCGAGCGGCGGCCGGCGTTCATTGATTTTGGCCCCCGGAGGGGCCGATCGGTGCATTGTGGGCATTCCCACCTCCCTCCTCCCCATCTCCCTCCCGGCGGACATTCTTCCAGCTCGCCCCCCGCCCCTGCCAGCCTCCTTTTTTGTTCCCTCCTGCCTTTCCTTCCAGCCC